GTATTCACTAGCATTCTACAAGCAGAGTTAGTGAAATAAATTAGTGAGATAGATTTGAGGGCTGGCATTTTTTTATTTTTGGTTTCTACAGTGAGCAATGATACTTGTTCTCTAGGTGGGAATGATATTGAAGGGTTCTGAAACATTTAGTTGACTTGCGATAGTGTGGAAATGTTTGTCTTCAATTACACGAATGTAAGCAGTGAAGCATTTGAAGATCAGTGTGCTTGGCAGATCAGCTAGGTATTATGCAGCCTGGATTTCTAGGAAAGGCTGCAGAAACACAATGACCACACCAGCTCCAGCCAGCTAGGTGAATTCAGTGAATACTTGGCACACTATTCCAATTCTGTGGTCAAATTCAGAGGACAGGTTAGCACCAGTTGAGGAATAAAACAAGAAACGTTTAAAAAAAGAGGCTGTCATTCAGCCCAACTAGCCCATTTTCTAGTAAACTGATCCAATGATTTCATCCGAATTAATAAAGATATTTAATGTTCTCTAACAGAATACTGTATGAGCTCTGTTGTAGCTACAAAAGTGACTCTTTAGGTAAGCATTTTACATTATCTGCAAAGTATTTTGCAACTTTTTACTGTAAATCTGATATCTACTGTATTTGACAGATAATGGTAATGACAGAGTAAAACTTTGGAGAGCCTGTATCTTGCCCACTCTTAGGCTACCCTACAGCAACATATTGTGGGTCATATACATCAGTGTCAATAGAAACACATACAGTAAGGGGAGGCAGAACAGCAATCTGCTTGAAGTGGACATAAGAGAGAGGTAAGATAAGATAAGATCACTTTATTGGCCATATACAATTTCTTGTATTAGGAATTTGTCTTTTTGTATACCCCAGCTTGCTCTCCATGAGGCACACAGACAGGGAGAGAAGCTTGTGGTCAGAGCACAGGGTCAGCCATTGTACAGCGCCCCTGGAGCAGTTGAGGTTAAGGGTCTTGCTCAGGGACCCAACAGAGTAGGATTCCTCTGCCGGCCGTGGGATAAGAATGGGCAACCTTCCAGCCATAGGTGCAGATCCTGAGCCACATAGCCACCATACCACCCTACACTGGACATGTTTATGTTTTCATGCCCCGGAGGCTGCTGGGCCAGCCAACCCATTAGGACCACTAGGGTTCCCAGCATAGTCCAAGTGCTTTTTTATTGTACTTTAGTAAACCAAGCTTATTCTCTTGAATGACCATTTATGTTGCAAACTCAAATAGGAATGCATTTACATTGTATTTTCTGTCACTGATCTGTACAAATGTTTCTATAAATTATAAAGTGACACGTGACATGTAAATTAAAGAAATTAAAAGAAAACACTGAAATGTCTTGATTTGATAACCATTTACTCTCTTTGCTATTATACTCCAAAGCCCAGATCCATCTGATTTCTTTGTGAGCTCACAGAGTGGTCAATTCTTTTGGTTCTCCCGAACGTCCATTACAAACTTAATTTGTTACCATAATTGTTTTTCTTCTTCAATTCCATGAAATTAAAAGTCTACTTTTTGTACTTTAAAATATAGATGTCAAAACAAAATAGCTACATTTTCAGTGGCAGATCTCATTCAGTTTCTACATAACAAAGGAAAAACTGAAATGAAAGAGTAGAAACATGGAAAATTTCAACAACTTTTGTACAGCAGCGTATGTATTATCCCTTTTATTTTTCTTTTATATTAGAAATGGTTGTTATATCATGTACCGAGTTTCTTTATATAGACACGACTTTACTGTATGCTGGTATAATGCAATATACAGTATGTGTTCTAAGTTGATATGTTTTCTGCTGGTTGTTTTGTTTAAAAGTGTCCTGGAATGAAGGGTGGCACAATGACACAGTAGCTATTACTGTTGCCTCACAGCCCTGGAGCCCTGGATTCAGTTCTTGGGATGTTATACTCATGGAGTTAATATGTTCTCTGGGTACTCTAGTTTCCTCCCACAGTTCAAAAACATACTGTATTGATAGGTTAATTGACCTTTGAAAAAACTGGCCTTGGCATGAGTGTGTACGTCCTGCGACTAGCATCCAATCCAGGGTGTATCCTGCCATGTGCCCATTGCATGCCAGAATAGTCTACTCCTGTATTGGTTCACGCACTTAGATAATCGATGGATTCCTGGAATGACACCTGTGGGGGTACTGAGAAAAGCCTGTTATACAGAATTAACCAGATACTCAATATCCATGGCTAACATCGTAATAATTGTAGCCTAATTGGGGTTCCTTAATTTTGGAATTAAAATTTATGAGGCACAACGAATACTGTTATACAGACTATAGAGTTCATCATGTAGCATATAAAAAAGTGTGCACTTGGTTCTGGCTACAGTAAAGATGGCAAAGTTTAAAGTCGTACTTATTGACACCCCCAATCAACTTTGTAAAGCCAATGCTGTAACCCTACTGTACTACAGATGCTACAGTACTTGAACTTCAGTCTAAACTTAAAAACTTTGGTGTGATATTTGAGTCAGGCTTGACAATCGACCCACATGTGCAACATATTTTCAAAACATCATTCTTTCACCTCAGAAATATCACCAGACTACATCCTATATCATCGCAAACTGTTGCTGAAAAGCCAATCAACACATTTGTCTTCTCCTGAATTGACTAATGAAATGCTCTACTTGCTGAATCCACATTGAACATACGCCAGTATCTCCAGAATTTGGCAGTCAGAATCCTGACCAGGTCTACAGCAAGTGATCACATTACTCCTATTCTGGAGTCCTTGCACTGGCTTCCTCTGTTAAGAGCGCGTATTACAGAATAAAGGGGATCCTGGGTGGAGAAAATAGATTAAAGTTAGAGTATATACCAGCAGCCGAAATCCAAAAGACGTAGTCGATTATCTTGCTCGGATCCTTTTTGATTCTCTGAGGAGAAAGAACATATCCTAGGAAGGGAATCGTGGATACATGAAAAATACATTTTTCAAGTTTAACATTTAATCTGTTCTTGATAAGACGGGAAAGGACGTCTTGGCCATGAACGAAGTGATCTTGAAAGCTGTTGGAAAAAATTAAAATCATAATTTAAAGAAATTGACACAAATCTTTGTATGATATCACGGAAAACATTGTTCTTAAAATTCTGAAAAACTGCGGGAGCATTAGCCAGATATTCAAACCAAATATTTGCTGTGTCCATGGGTTGTGATGAAGGCGGTTTTCCATTCGTCACCCTACCTGATACAAATGAGATTGTATGCTTCACGTAAATCTAATTTAGTGAAGATGGTGGCGCTGTGTATAGATTCTAGAGCAGCAGTAATTAAGGGTAATGGGTATCGATTCTTAATGGTAATTTCATTAAGATCGCGGTAATCTCCATCCTTTTTTTTAACAAAAAACAAGCTAGAGGGTGAATAATGCCAGCTTGGAGTGATTCCTGGTTATACTCTTCCAATGCACGTGATTCTGTAATTGACAGTGGGTAGATTTTCCCCTTTGGAGGAAGAGTGTTGGGAAGGAGGTCAATAGGACAGCCATAAGGACGATGAGGGGAGGGTAGGGTTAGGGATTTTTGTTTATTGAAAGCTTCCAAAAGAACACTAATAATGTGGAACTCTAGACACTTCAGATTAGAGAGGTCTCTGAAGCCTAGCTTTAAAAGCAGACGGCAGCAATGAGATAGACAATTACAACCTCAAGATAATAGTTCATTACGTGACAAAGATATTTGGGAATCATGCTGATGTAACCAAGGGTACCCCAAAAGGAGGGGGTGTGAAGGGGACTCCAGAAGAAAAAAACTGTATATTTTGAGATACTGCAGAATGAGTGAGGTGGTCTGCCAGGAAATTGGGCCTGAAGAAATGGAAGAGCCGTCAATAGTCTGGACCCAGAGAGGTGGATTAACTGGGAGTAGAGGGACATTCCAGGACAAAGGATGAGTCTAAGAAGTTCCTGGATGCTCCAGAGTCTATAAAGGCAGAGAGGGGCAGATAATTATAATTCCAGGAGAGAGTGGCCAGAAGATAGAGTGAAGTTGGAGTATTGGTAATGAATGGAGATATACTCACCCCTGATTGTAAGGTAGGCTGGGAATGTTGCCTTCTCTGAGGTTTGACAGGAAGCCCAGAAATTTGACAGCAATAGAGGCAACGACCCTCCAAGTGATGTCTGGTCTTCTCCTCTGGAGTGAGTCTAGAATAGGCTATTTCTATTGGTTGTTGAGGGGACACATAAGAAGCCGAAAAAGTCTGTGATGGTGTGAAATTCCATGACCGTGATATTTCCAGTCGCTTTTCGCGAAACCTGTTATCCAAATTGATGATCTGAGTGATTCCTTCCTCAATGGTTTTACTAGTAGGAGGCAAGACAGTTAAATGATCTTTTAATTTCTCTGATAAGCCTTGTCGGTATTGAAAAATAAGAGCCTCCCAATTCCAAGATGTCAATGCTGCTAGAATGTGAAACTAGGCTGGGATCAGGTCGATTGAAGACGGTTCTAAGGTATTCTTGAAAAAGGCCAAAGTCATGAACCATGAGTGTATCTTGCTCAATTAAGGAGGTAGCCCAATCCAATGCTCAACTGGTGAGCAAAGAAACCATAAAGGCAACCCTTTCTTGAAGGCTGTCCGATTGGAGTTGAAAAAACAAAGTACATTGTGCCAAAAACCACGGCATTTAGATAAGTCTCCATCAAATCTTTCCAGGGTGACAGGAGGAATAGGTGGAGAGGAAGGGCTTGGTATATGAATGGGGGGGAGGGCAGTGGAGGAGCGGGAGGGGTGGAACGGTCCTGTGGGGTTTAAGCCAATTGTAAGTCTCACAACTGTCATGATAATTGGCGTAATTCAATTCAATTTATTTTCATATAGCACCTTTCACAAAAAGGTTGCCCCAAGGTGCTTAACAATGCAAGTGACCATACATGTTGTGAATACAGAACAGAAAAGACCAGAAGACAACAGAGGAGAGGAACCAAAAACCTCTGAGTCAGGACAAAAAAAACTCTAGGGGTCCAAGGTCAGCTGGCTGCCCAACCCCTTTGGACATGCTAACATTATAAAATTTTTAAAAAGAAATAAATGAATGGGGGTATAAATCCACCCATCCACCATGTCTTCTGTATGTCAGTACTCCACGCAGATCTCTGTAGACCAGCAAAATCTTCCTACACGATAGCTATATCCATGATGTCCCTCTTGGATCTATGGCGGCGATGCAGCATCCAACTCAGGTAGTGCCCAGCCCAGGTGCCATCTGGACATGTGAGGAGGAGAATAGGATAGTTTGGTCAGAACAGATGTATCTGCCTGGTAGGCCAACATGGAGACACACAATGGCAGGTACAGAAGCGCCAGCGGCCATAGTTGCACCAGGCTATGATGTAAGGTGTGAGTAAGCTAGTCTGAAGTAATAGGTTTTCGACTGGATTTGAATACTGAAATTGACTCGGCATCGCAAATACGGGGTAGGAGACTGTTCCATAAGCTAGGGGCCCTGTAACTAAAGGCTTTACCACCATCTGTTTTTTTATTAATGCATGAAATAAGAAGACCTGCATTCTGTGATCTAAGCAGGCGACCTGGATGGTGTACATTAATAAGTTCCATTAGATAGACAGGTGCCAGACCTCCGAGAGTAAAAGTAAGTAAAATAATTTTGAAGTCTGCCTTGTACCTGACAGGAAGCCAATGAAGAGAGCTAAGTATGGGGGTTATATGGTCGTACTTTCTGCTCTTGTAACAACTCTAGTTGCTGCATTCTGAATTTGCTGTAAGGTGTTGAAAGAGTGATAGGCGATCCTTGATAGTAGGGCATTGCAGTAGTTTAACCTGCTGTATACAAGACCATTTATTAATTTCTCTGTGTCTTGAGTGGAGAAAAACTGCATTAGTTTTGCAATATTTCTTAACTGTAGGAAGCATGTTTTCGATACTGTTTTAACATGAGAGTTAAATGAGAGCCTTGTGTCTAATATGACACCTAGGTTACGTGCTGAGTCTTTGAGGCAAATTTTTAAATTCTCTGAGTTAAGTGCTGAAGTTATAGTAGACCTATCAGTATTGTTGCCTCCAAACAACAGAACATCAGTTTAATCAGAGTTAAGTAACAAAAAGTTTTCACACATCCAAGTCTTTACGTCAAGAATGCAATAAACTGAAGTGATAATAAAGTGATAAAAAGAATTGTCACTAGGTGTAAAAGAAATTTATATTTGAGTGTCATCAGCATATGAATGAAAATTAATATAAGTAATATTTCATTGTCCCTTGAGGGAATTTTTTTATGGACACCCAGCACTCCTGTACATTTAAATAGAATAGAATACAAAAAAAGAGAGAAGAAAAACATTGCACATTTTAATATTACAAAAAATAAGAACAATATTGCACATTATACTATTACAAAAAAGTTTTTGAAAATATTGCACATCATTCTATTGCACATGTACAGTATAGCACATAACGTAACATTAACAACACATCACAAAAACATATTGCACTCAAGTGGGTTGTAAGAGTCAAAATTGTGTTTATCCTTGACATTTGCGTTGACAGCTTTAATGGAGAGTGGAACACAGGAATGTTTGTATCTGCTTGAGTTACATTTGGGAGCCCTAAAACATTTGCCAGAAGGAAGAAGTTTATATTCAGAGTTGAGGATGTGGGAAGGATTTGATATAATGTTTCCTGCCTGTTTGATTAGGGATTTTTCAGATTGTCTACAGGGAGAGGTTCTGTTTCACTCCTATGACTTTCAAAGCTGTCTGGATGAGGCAGATAATTTACGATTTAATATGAACTGATAGATAACCAAACCACACTGAAATACCATAGCTGATAATGCTCTCGATTACAGCACGGTAGAAGAGTAGCATTACTTCCTGTCAAACCCCAAACACTCTTAGTCTTAACAGGAAATATAAGTGCTGCTGAACTTTGGCACAAACACTCTCAACATAAGTAGACCAGCACAGGTTACAGTCTACTGTATATGTACACCTGAGTATTTATATGAGTCAACCTGAGTGATAAGTTACTACCTGTGAGTGATCACCAACTGTTCTGGGATCAAAAAATATTTCTTTTGTTTTATTAACATTCAAAATTAGGCTGTTGTTGTCACACCATTGCACACATTTTTGGATTTCTGACATGTACACAGATGAGCTGCTACCTCTATGCATTAAGCCAAGAACAGCTGTATCATCTGAGAATTTGAAAATGAAGTTGCTTTGACTACTGCTTGTACAATCATTTGTATAAAGTATGAACAGAACTGGAGAGCTCACCCAGCCCTGAGGGGCACCTGTGCTAGTAGATTGTGACTCAGAAAGAGTTTTGTTGACCCTGACATACTGTATGCAGTTTGTTAAAAATGAATGTTACCATTTTATAATGTTATGGTTAACAGACATTTGCTTCAGCTTACTAATCAATAGATGGGGGTGCAGCAAATTAAATGCAGAGCTGAAGTTCACAAACAGCATCCGAGCATAGGCATTGGGGTCCTCTAGGCATTTTAGAATAAGATGCTGTTAATTGCATCATCGGTACCCCGCCAGTGTTTATATGTAAACTGATGTGGATCCAGTACAGTGTTCACTTCTGAGCACAGCACGGATACCATAATCCTCTCAAAGCATTTAATCACAACAGACATCAGTGCTACCGGCCTGTAGTCATTGTTATCTGAGGGACAGGGCTTTTTGGGTATAGGCACGATGATTTCTTTTTTCCAGAGCACTGGAGCAGAGTGAGAGTCAACTGACTTCTGAAAGATAGGACACCATGCTGGTGTTAATTTCTCTGCACAGTTTTTTAAAAGAGAGGCAGTGATGCCATTAGTGCCTGTTGCCTTTTTTGCAGATATGTGTCTGAAAGATTGTGTGGTCATCTGCAGACTTATTACAAGCCTACCAGCACTACTGTCAGCTGTAAATGTATCTAACATACTGTCACATGCACCAGAGAAGTCTCGTGTCTCAAACCTCAAAAGTCATTCAGGTCGTTTGCTTTAGCCAGCTCATCCATTGTATGGAAGCTCTTGAATTGAAAAATTCATGTCAATATGTTTTCATATTATCCTACCTAGTGGCAGTATGTAGAGAGAGAGAAATAGCAATATTGGTCCTGGCACTGATCCCTGTGGTACCCCAAATTGAACTGGTGACATTGACAAAGCAGTACAATTATTAGATATTTGAACATAACGAAAAAGATTAGTTAAATGAAGTTAACCACTTAAGTACGGTTCCACATAAGCCAACCTCAAACCCAAGCTTATGTAAAAAAACAGAGTGTTCAACTGTGTCAAAGGCATCACTAAGATCTAGAAGCACAAGCACTGTTGCATTCTCCACATCAATAGCTAACAGAAAATCATTTTTTAGACTCTTGTTAATGCAGTTTCAGTGCTGTGGCCTGGG